ATTCTCGTAGGAGTGGTTAGCGAAGCCGACGCCTCATTTCTGCATTTTGTCATTAGCTATTATCCTCTAACGTTTCAGTGTATCCTTACAGAAATAAAGCAGCATATAAATAACTGGCCTGGTCTTTTCATTTTGCCGCTGGGGTTGCTGTAAGGGGACACGACTGGGGATCCCAGAACCCCAATGACTGTTTTCCTTCCTTCAAGTGCAGACTCCATTCAGTGCAGCGTGGAATAGGAATTCCAAGCAAGATAAAACCTGTAAGAGCCCTCGGATCCGGTTAAAAACAACAAAACCCCACTCTGATCCCAAAGAAGCATTTCACAGATGCTCCCATCCCTGAAAGGAACAGGAGGGGCCTGGGCGGGGGGAGGCGAGGAGTAGAAGGGGAATGGCAGCTGCCCTTTCCCTGTGCCTCGCGGAGCGCCGCTGTCAAGGGCTCCCTCCACTCTCGGGCGGCGGGAGAAACTCGCTCCCCCTTGTGGCCGGCCCGGGGATGGGGCGACGGTCTGATGAGCATCGGGGCCGTAGTCGTGAAAGCCAAGGGCGGGACCGCTCTCGTGCTAACGTGGACCTGACCGTGTTAGCAGGGAATCAACCTGCCAGCAAGAGACCGCGGGCGTTTCTATGAACAGGTGACAGCCCCTTGTGTCTGTCTCCCTAGAGAAATGAGCAGTTAAAACCACAGAAGTGCTGAGTCATCTGGAGCCCCAAGGGAGCAGGGTGGGGTGGGGAATTGGGGTGATCCGCCCACCCGCCCCCCCCCCCCGCCTCCCAAGGGAGCTGGCCGGGTTATGGAGACCGAGATAAGGGGTAGATCCCAGAGGAGACAAGCCCGGCGTGGAGTGGGGACTTCCTTCAGGGACCCAGTGGAGGCGGGGGGGTGGGGTCCTTATTCTCACCGAGCTGGTGCTTGGCCCCCCAGTCCACTGACTGCTCCCAGCCCCTTCCCTTCCTGACTTCTCTCATCTGCCCCAGATTCTACGCTCATCTTCCATCCTGTGTCACCCTTTGGCCTTCCTATCCCCCTTGGCCCGCAAAACTCCAGCCTACACCAGGGCCAGGGTCCGCTGCGAAAATGCACCACGACCGCAGCCTTCGGCGCTGCCCAAGCCAGGCCGGCCTGGCCAGCTAGGCCTTGCCTTCCCCGGACCAGCAGGTTGCTTCCTCCCCGTTCCTCACCCGCGAACAGGTCTGGCTTGACAGCTAACCCTCACAGCCCCCACTGATGGCACTATGGCCCCATTTTCCAGGTGAGAAGGCGGAAGGTCAGAGAGGTCTGCCGGAGGTCATTGTGAGCAGGCATTGCCACCGAAATGGTGAGCCCCCCGCGGTGGGGGCTGTGTCTGCCGCACCACACTGAGAAAACCATCCGGTCTGCTCAGTACTCCATTTGCAGACGGATGCTCTAAAGACACGGGGAGGGGAGATGTCCGCTTCTTACCAGAGAACCCTCTTCTCCCTGGTAATTACAGGGATCGGAATATCAAGAACATACTGTGTGTTCACAGGGTGTGTTCTGGAGCGGGTGGCCTGGGTTCAACTCCCAGCTGCTCTGCCACTCACTATGCCCCTGAGACCTGACCTCTCTGGGCTTTCCTCGCCTGTAAAATGTGACAGAATTCCTACCTCCCGGAATCACGTGCAGATGACATCATAAGCACTTAGCAGGACGACTGACATCCAGTAAAAGCACTAGATAAATGTTAGCAATTTGCTCATACCTCCAGCATCAAAGGCAGTCTGTTACCCACCATGCAAGCCACAGGACACTTCCCACTCGCAAAGCAAGACGGGGTTGCTGGGCTTTACGATCATACTTGAATTTGAGCATCAGCTCTGCCTCTTCCTGGTTGTACGATGTTGAACAAGTGCCAATCTCCACCAATCTGTGTCGTCCTAGGTAAAAATGAATACCCAGCCTCACAGGGTTTAAAGATGCCTCATAATAGAGTCCCTGGCATATGGCACGTGTAGATGTAACTATAGTTATTACCAGACTTGGGGAACCCCCTGGATGCACCCATCCAGAACACTGCGGCTGGATTGGTGGGAAGGGAGAGCAACAGCGAGGCGGCCTCTCCAGGCCTCCATGGCCCTGGGGTGGCAGGTCAGGGGGGTGGGGGGAGGGCACCACCAGGCCACCAGGAATGGACCCCTGATGGAATTGTGGGGTCCAGCCTGCCTCCAGGTTTTTGCTTCTTGGCACTAGCTCCTGCTGCTCTTTCCTCTCTCACCACGAGGGACTCCGAGACCATAGCAGGGCCACGTGAAAACACAAGCCAAGTCCCAGAGTAAGCGCACGGGCACCTCAGCTAAGACGTGGGACTTTAGTACTTTCAGTCCCTGCCCAGCACTCTTTCCAGCAGTCCCTACCTCACCGCTGCGGCGGCCTGGGAACAGAGCTGTCCCAAGGTACCATACCTGAGCGAGAGGACACAGGTACAGGAAACGGGCTCACAGGCAGAACCCGCTGGCAGAAGTTAGCGACCCGTCCCTCAGGGACAGGGACGCTAAGAGACTACCTAGAGAGGAAGGAACACGAGAGGTAGCCAAGGTGTCCTATACCCCCACTGAGTTCAAGGGGCTCAGCCAGTGTCCGCCACCTGGGAGCTGGGAGCGGCTGCAGGTGGCGTGCGCCCGGGGCATCGGGGCCGGCGGCTGCAGCCGGACCAGCACCGTGCAAGGCCGAGCGGGGCTGGCTGCCGCTGTTCTCGGCACCAGACCCCGAGACGGGATAAACAGGGGCCTCGTCTGTCGCAAACAAAACCTAGCAGAACAGAATGTGTCTCCGGGGAGGAAACCAGACACCTACGGGCAGGTCTGAACGAGGGGTTTAGCCACGCACAGGACCGGGGAGGGGTCGGGAAGTCAGGACGACATGCGCCCAGCCACTGCCCGCGCGTGCACACCCGCAGGATGGAGGAGGCAGACAGAGCACTGTCCCCTGTGGCAGGCACAAGTGAGGCCCCTAAAGGGGCTGCAGAGGGGGGTGAGGAGTGATTGCTTAAAGGGGACAGGTGTTTTGAGGGTGATGAAAATGTTCTGGAACCACACAGTTGCCCAACATAAATGTGAATTTTACCACAGTAAATATAAAGATAGTTAGGAATTTTTTTTTCAAGATTTTATTTAATTGAGAGAGCAAGCACCTGAGCGAGGTGGGGGGAGGGAAGGACAGAGGGAGAGGCAGACTCCCCGATGAGCAGGGAGCCCGGGATCATGACCTGAGCCCAAAGCAGCCACTTCACTGAACACCCCAAGTGCCCCGGAGAAAAATACTTGATGACCACTGGCCTCCGGGAGAAGCCAAGAGCCACCGCTGGAAAGAGTAACAAGCATTGAAACAGGCACAGAATTTGAAGATACGCACCTCCGTGCCCCACGGGTGACTGAGGGGGGACAGCAGAGGGTCTGCTCACCTTTTACTGAACCCACCACTTGCCTCCATTCACAGCCTGGTTAACAATTAGGGCCACCTTCACGCCACCGACAGTAAGGGTTTTATGATTAGAATGAAAAAGAAGGGGCGCCTGGGTGGCTCAGTGGGTCAAAGCCTTTGCCTTCAGCTCAGGTCATGGTCCCAGGGTCCTGGGATCGAGCCCCGCTTGGGGCTCTCTGCTCAGTGGGGAGCCTGCTTCCTCCTCTCTCTGCCTGCCTGTGTGATCTCTCTCTGATAAATAAAATCTTTTAAAAAAAGAATGATAAAGAAAACTTGCTTTATCTGCAAAGTTTATTTCACAGAGCACACATACAAATATGGGTATAACAGTGTTTCAACATGTGACATTTGTGCAGAAAAATACCAGAAACTCTTTGTCGGGATGATTGTCTCTGCCTTCTATACAAAAGAGCTAGTGTATAAAAAGTTTTCAAATCTAAGCCACCAAGTTCTAACCCATAACAATGGTACAGTACTCTGAATGCCCAAGAATTAAAGAATCAGAAAGAATTCCTTCCTTTTACAAATCCAAGGCTGGTGGCTAGAAAGGAACCCAGGCTTGCTTGAAACTCCTTGTGATTCGCCAGCAAACTCATTAGCAGTAGGACTATCCTGCATTCAAGTTTTAACTGATGGTGTGTGTAAGCAGAATTTGACAGATTTCAGGAAACCTATTCTGCGTGCGTGCGGGATGTGTGTGCTCAAGTGTGGATGCACGTGCGTACATGCGTATGCGTGTGTGTGTGCACGCCTATCGCGGAGACCAAAGAATGGCACCGCTCCTGTTCTCACTTGCAGCCAGTGGCTAGGGCAAGGCAAGCAGCTCTGGTCCCTACATCCCAAGGCTGAGTGTGTAAACGAAGTGCAGGCCTGGCAGGCACAAGGACCAAAAGAAGACATGTTGCAAACAACTAGGAGCATGACACGTGCCCTGCCAGACAGCAGCCACATACTGTCTTAGGTACGATAAAAACACTGCACGTTTTTGGAAATAAATCCCCAAGGTGCACTTCAAAAAAGGTAACACCGATAAGAACGGAAGGTGCTAACACCGTCCTGAGAGCACTTTCTAGGACCCAGAGCATTTGGGGGGTGCCAGGGCCTGTGCACTCAGGTGATGGCAGAGTTAAGAACATACATACGTAATGGTAACATGTGACCTACTATATTTTGCAACCTCCTGCTTATTTATTAGAAACAACCCAACAAAGCTCTTATGAGCAATCTTGAGCCCCTCGCCCACCCCATACGGTCTCTACGAGTCGAACATCTGCTCTGAATTTCTAAAGTAACGTAACTATTAAACAGAATAAGCAGTATTTTAAGAGAGAAAATTCCTCCTCAGTTTAGAAACTTAAAGAGTGACCACTTCCGAAAGGCACTCCTGCTGTGCACTCACACACCCCGGCTGGAAAACAAAAACGAGACAGCAGAGGTTTTTACAGGGAAACGAAAATGACTCTTTACTCAGAACCCCTGATGTTGTTAAGAGTCAAGATGATATCATGCATCTTCTGAGATGATACACATTAAGGCGTCTGTCTGTTGTGTTCCCTGTTTCTGATGGTCATTTTAATGGCGAGGTTCAAGTCAGAGGCTGAAAGATTAGGGGGTCTGGAAGATGAGATCCAGAGTGGAGGGTGAATTCTCTTCTGGGCTGCGCGAAGTTTACATATCTGACCGGAGGGAAAAAGAAAAAAAAAAAAAAAACAGTAGAGCAGATGCCGGTCACACTGCTGCTGGGCCCCAGCCTCTCTTCGTGGTGGGTCCAGGACCTTTGGCAACCCCCTCCCCGAACCATCGTTCCTGACACACAGTGCCCCCAGAATCCCAACCCCCAAACAGGCCCAAGCTGCCTCTCAATTTCAAAAAAAAAGCTTCTTAAAGGAAAGAAAAGCAAAGGCCTTTTCTTGAGAGATTGAGAGACTAAGTCCAAAGGGCTGACAAACCTTGTGCCCTACGTGATTATTTATCTGCACACTGTAACGCAGCTGGTGTACCAGGGGCGCTGACGAGAACCTACTTTGTGTATGTGGTAGGAAACGGCAGGGCATCAGAGCTAGAATCAAGCCCTTTATGCTCTCAATGCCAACTCAGTAGAAGACCCTTTGATATCCACCTTAGCCTTCAGACCCACCGCCGTCTCCCTACTTGCCTCAAAGTTACAGGGTACCAAGAAGGCCTGGGAAGAGCCAGAAGCAGGAGAGTTCATGGCCAACTGCCTTTCAAGCAAGGTAAAGACAGGAGGAGGCCTTACCCGATGGAGCAGGAACAGAACTGATTTTCTTGTCGTCTAAAGGCAACGGGGGACTCTGGTGGAATGTCATGGAACCTTTCAGATGGTATTTTCGGCTATCAGGAGGGGTACTGGACATAAGGGACTCTGCCTCATTTCTGATGTCAGTAATTTTGTCACAGATCCACTCCTGTGCCTCTGGGTCTAAACTCTTGGAAGGTCCCACGGTGTTACAGGTTTCACTTGCCTTTCTGGTATTGGCTGCATGGCTAGTCATTCTTTTGGTGGACGATCTGTAAAGAGATGCTTAGGTTAGAACCCTGACTATCCCAAAGCCAAGGTTTTGTCCTGAAAGAAGCTTTATCCTTAAATGAAGGATAAAAAACTTAGGATAAGTAACTTTTCCTTCAGAATCCTAGCATGGGAAAGCAGGAAGAGATCCTGGAAATCACAGAACACACTGGTTTCCAAATTGTGTCCTGCCAAGTCCCAGGGCTCAGCAAACACTAAGCAAGGCCAAGAGCAGCTGAGCACGCAGGCCTCCAGAAGCCCCATCCCCCACTTCACATGGATCCAGGACGTGGCCAGAACCATGGAGTGAGGACGGACTGGCTCTCCCAGCTCCAGGGCTCAGTCCAGCCCGTCACTGAGCCTCTTGGCCCCTTGTGTTCACGTGGGCCTTGGAGGCTCATGTCTTTTTTTAAGATTTGACACAGAAACAGAGCGAGTGAGGGAACACAAGCAGTGGGGAGTGGGAAAGGGAGAAACAGACTTCCCGCTGAGCAGGACCCTGGGATCATGAGCTGTGCCAGAAGGCAGATGCTCAACGACTGAGCCACCCAGGCACCCCAGGCTCACCTCGTCTTAGGCAATCCCCAGGGAACCTTCCTGAGAATCTACTGCCACTCTCCCAACCTAACTCCTGCCCTCAGTTTCCCCATATGTAAAACGACATCCACACCAAAGTCAGAGTTGCAACAAGCATCGGAACAGGCAACATCAAACACCTGGTATGCGCCAGTCACTCAGTGCCCCCTCCCAGATTTTATGAGCAACACCAGTGTGCACAAAAGCACAGCTTAGGGCCGGATGTATCTGGTTTGAACGTGGGCTCTGCCTTATCACAATGGGATGTTGGGCAAATAAGGCCCGTCGTCTCTCCGTGCCTCAGTTTCCTCGTCTGTAAAAGTGAAGATGTTAGTCCTTACCTAGCAAGGCTGCTGTGGGGATCAATTTACTTCTGGAAGTACTTGACACAGTGCTTGGTAAAAACTAAGAGCTCAGTCAGTAATTTTGCGTATGACTCCCACCAAATTTATTCTGATAAGCTTGCTGAGTGACTCACCTGGTACCCTTTGCCTGAGCCAAAGGGTCTTTCGCACTTTTTGGTCTGAAGTTTTTCATGTCGCCATTAAAAAATGTTTTTGTCTCTCTACGGACTTGGCCAGAAGTGGCGTCTAAAAACACCAGCTTGGGAGTGTTCTTCTTCATGTTTTTAAAATGTGTTTTGAGTTTTGTGGATGAATCCATGCCATTTATAAAGGCTTGGAAAACAAAAGGAAGAAGATTAAAACTGGAGTTTAAAACAACGAAGGCAACAGAAGGTGAAGGCTGTGATGGTGGCGCGTCGGGGCACAGCGGCCGCCTGCAGGCAAGGGGGGCCATGCAGCAGGATGCTGGGGTGCAGGGTGCCGCCCGGTGCACAGGCCTGGTCGGGCCTCAAAGCACAAAGGAGCCACCTCTGAGGAACCTGCCTGCCTCCTTCCTCGGCCAGACAAGAGTGGGAAGCCGGAGGGTAGCGGGCAGCAGGCTTCTTACCCCTCCTCCTGCCCAGCCACCTGGCCAATCCCACCTCTTCTTTCGGCCTCGATTCCAGTGCTGCCTCCTCTGTGCCCCTGGCCCTGCTCTGACTGCTCTATTCTCACCATGTTCGGGCCAACCCGCCGGTGGCAGTATCACCGTGTGCCTCTGTTTTGCCACGGGCTGCCCTGAGGCTAGGTCTCCTCCTCTCTGCATCCCAGCTAGCCCAGGAGAGAGAAATGCATGTTCATTTCCATCTGTGGGATTGCAGAGTGCCTAGTTCTGCTGCCATGAAGTGGTGCCTCCCCATGAGGGACTCGGCTATACATCTCAGAGGGTTCTCAGGTCATGACAGGCGTGACATTTCTCTCCCGGAGGTGCAAAGTGGCATTCCTCCTGCGGTTAATCATGGATGCCATCCAAGGCTGGGAGCCAGGAAATGCTCGTTAAGCCTCACGTTCAGGTACGAGCTACTACCTGCAGCCTAAAGGCACAAGCTGCACCTAACGGATGCCACCGCGGCAGGCTTTCCGGAGTTGTCTATGCGCCAGGTACTATTCTCAGCACATGGATCAGCCTATCCCAATGGGCTACCTCCTGCTACCCTAGGAGGACCACATTTGCTTCCCCTTTTCCAGGTAGGAAAACTGAGTACAGAGAGGTTCGGTAAGTTGCCCAAAGCCACACAGCTCAGAAGCAGAGGAGCCCCTAGATGAACCCAGACAGTCCAAATCATACACAGTGACTAACAAAACTCAAAAGGCAAGCAAACCTGATGGACGCAGGTCATCAAACGAATTGTCATCACTTTCTGACTCCTCCTCATCGTCCGCCTCGTCCTCCTCGTATGTGTTATCAACAAATGGTTCTGCAACCTAGGATGAGAAAAGAAGTCAGCCTGACTTGGCTATTTCAGAGAGAAGAGGTTTCATGCTGGACTGATTGATGGCTATTTTTCATCATTTCAGTTAAAAAGTTAAAAAAAAAAATCCAATGTCTTGGGCCCAAAGACGACAGGGGACAGAAGAGCTGGCCCTGGCTGTGTCTTTCTGTTAGGGAAAGACACTCAGGAATGAAAGACTTCCCCGAGTGGGAGCCAAGGGGGCCATGGCTCTGGGTTGGGATATAGGGTCCGGACTAAGCTAAGGTAGGGCCAACTGATGGAACAGCTAAAAAAAATTCTTGGCTGTCTCTTGAGAGGAAACTTCCCAGGCCAGCAGGCTAAGTGATCTTTCAGATGGTGACTCGCTGCACTTTCCAGAAATGACATTTGCATTCTACATTGCCACGATATGAATGACCACACTGGGGAACTGGAAAGAGCTAAAATACCAGTGTGGTAGCACAAAGAGTAAAGGGCATAGAATTTGGAGGGAAAAGGCCTGAGAGGCATCTGATGCCTCAAAAGACAGGATGCTGGGGTAAGCAAATACTTGTGAGAGCAACCCCAAAATGTACTTACCATAAAGGAAAAAAATGAATTTGAATTCATGAAAATGAACGTCTGTTCATCAAAAAGCATTATGAGAGTATGAGGCAAATTAGGGCAATGCCTACACATGCACAGAAGCAGAGGAGGGAAAAACTACGCAACAGTAAGAAGCCGCTGAATGGAAACATGGACGAAGGACTTTACAAGGCGCTTCACCAAAGCTTATCTCCAAATGGCCAAAAAGCAGATGAAAAGGCACTCGAGTTCATTAATCATCAAAAACTACCGATCAGCTCGGCAGTGTACAAATTAAGAACGTCTGTGCAGCTGGGGGCCACGCGTTAAGACGGGCCACAAACTGGCAAGAGGACAGACACATGCAGCACAAACGAGCAGGAAAGTAGGAGCTTCCAGAACGGGGGGAACCCCAAGTCAGTGAGAGAAAGACAGTATCAGCCCAGAGGCTCTGGGCACGGACCCCAACAAGCATCTTGCGCAAGGAAAAGCAGGACAGCTCATTAAGGCCAGAACGTGCTCCACCTCCCGCAATGAGGGACGCGCGCGGGATGCTCGCGCTACCGCCAGACGGGCCGAAAGGCGGCAAGCAGCTGAAGCAGCAGGACGCCCTACGCACTGCTGCTGGGGACACACAGACTACCTTTGCGGTATTCGAATCTGTCTTTCTTGTCCGCTTCATAATCTCCTCAATTCTCTATTTAAAGGAAAATAAAAATGCAAATGTGAAAACAGATTAAAAACAAACCAACAGTCCCGAGGAAGTTGATTACCTCCATTTTCCACAAGCAGACGCACCAGAACTGGTCCCAAGCCACAGCTTTCACCACTTTGAGAGCTCGGGGTGGCCGCCAGGGGCCCTCCCAGTCCCAATGTCAGTCATCCTAAAAGCATCTGGAGGGGTAGCAGCCGAACTAGCCATCTTAACCCAGAAATCCAATTACCTTTCACTCCTCATTTTGTAGACTCAGAAATTCATGACTTAAAAGCACATACTGCGAGCCAGTTAGGACTTTTTAATGTTTTAGTCTGAACAGATCACGACTGAAGCGGATAATAACAAAAAGAACGCACCCCAATGATGTAACATTGTCAGAAGGCTGAGGCTGCAAAGAGCACACACACAGGAGGGAAAGAATTCTCTCCTTGGTGCACACCTGGCCTCCTCAGGGTGACCCACTCCCAACAGAGAGGCCTTGCAGCCTGGACTGGAGCCTCCTGATCCCAGACAAGTCAAACTGAGTTGCACAAAGTGAGGTCCCACCTTACAAACAGTCTACACCTCGGCCTTTAAGAGACGCCTGCACCTGGTGCTCCCTCCCACTCAGCTGCTAGGGTTTCTAGCCCAGTCCAGAAGAAACTAGCTTCCACCAACCCCTCCCAGGACCAGAGTGATTCTGCTCAAAGGAGCTTTGTTCCCAGAGGTTTGTGATACCGCGGTGTCACTGTACTGGTCATCAGTGGTCTGCCACGGAGAAGTCAGGTCAGCAAGAGGAGACCCTTCTACATAGGAAGGGTGAGATCCTTGGATGAGAAAGAAGAGAGCTGCAGTGGGAAAACCACCAGAGGCTAACATACCACTTACTTGTGATTTTGAAGAACATGTTTTGGTATCGTGTGCCCAACATTGTTTTCGAAACGAACCAAACTCCCAAAACAGAAACAGTACCTTTTTTCTCTCTAATCTCTCCTGCAAATTCTGTAACATAATTCTCTCCTGTTCCTTCTTGCGTTTGTCAGCCTCCTCCTGAGCTTTTATTTTGGCGTCCCCTTTCTAGAAAATTTGCATAAAAATACCACTTACTCTCAATATACAAGTGATAACTGAGAACAACAGCTGAGAAAGTTAAACAGTTAAAGGTTATCCAGCATAAAAGAATGTAACCTTCTGATTGACAAGTACCTATACACACGACATTCATGAATTCTGAGTTTTCAAAACATCAGCTAAAAATGCACAAAACCAGGCTAACCATCGTCTTGAAGATTTAGAAGCCATGTCTGTCCCCTCCAGGACCTCAGGGTCACCATTCCAGCACCGTGGTTATCAGGCCACTATGGTCCCCAAATCAGGAATTATACAGCTATCCATTAACACAGCAACAGGAGCCAAAAGTCTTACACCTTTCGAAAGCATGGAGAGGATCCTTAAAGACAGCTTCCCAGGGAATGCAAATGCACACAACCGCTTATGCGACACACAACTGATTCTATTAAGTGATACACTAAAACTGGAATATTAAGTAGGCTGTGTTAGCAATTCAAAGTGAGTGTATAGTCTGAGCTCAGTTTGTGGATTTATTCACCAGAGGATTTGAATTTGCATAGGTGAGACCTTCTTACTCGGGAACTGGAGGACTTTAAACTTTTGGAGGCACTCATAATTTTTATCGTCTCTGTTGGGGGGTATGTGAAGTGCAGTTGTGAGTGCCACAGAGTGCAGGACTGGGAAAACTCACATAGGACATCTAATCTGTGCGAGCAGTGGGACTTCCTGAAACTGAGCTGCAATGTTGTTTATGTAGACAAAATAAAAAACTAATAATTTATAATTCTCAGCTTTCTGCTTCTGTTTCACTTGGAAGATATTTTAGAATTTTGCCAAGGGTGGCTGGGAATGACTTGTAGTGGCCCCGGGTAGCAGCTAGATGATAATAGAAAAACTAAGCCACACAAGGCTGCATCTGTTCATCATCTTTCTGGGGGAAACAGATTTTTGCCTTGGGTTTTAAATGAATTTCAGAATCTGGTCCTCAACCTCTGATAAAGTGGAGAGCCAGCAAACCTGTAGTAACACTTTCTGGTCTTCTGGATCTGGTGATCCTTTCTTCATTTCCTTCTGTTGTTGCCCATCTTCCAGTCTCGAGAATTCTCGTTGGACTTCCGCTGCTTTCTCTGCTGCGTCCTTCGGTTTGCTAATAACACAGCACAAACAACTCTTAGTATTTGTCTCAGTCTCTACCATATACAGCTTACAGTAATACGCGCATTTTTTTAAGTCATCTCTACGTCCAACATGGGGCTCAAACTCCCGACCCCGAGATCAAGAGTCACATGCTGCCCCAACTGAGGCAGCCAGTCTATTCTAGAGGCTGCACACACGCACACATGAGGTGGGTGGGGGGGGGCAGAGGGAGAGGGAGAGAGAGAATCCCAAGCAGGTTCCACACTCAGCACAGAGCCCAACCCGAGGCTGAGATATGACTTGAGTTGAAACCAGGAGTCAGAACACTCAATCGACTGAGCCACCGAGGCACCCCAATTTTATCATTTTTAAATGGGGGAAACTAGAGCCTGGTAGTAGAAAAAGATTTTTATCAAATAGTAGGCTACATTTTAAAAGGAGAGAAAGAATGGCAATCCTTAACTGTGTTAAACACATGGGACCCTCCAAAAGGCCTCATTATACACATGTTCCCATCCAATCTCACACATGATAATTTAAAGGAGGGTCTGGTGGTGCCCAGAGGGAAACCCATTCACAATGACCAGTATGCAGGGCTTTTAAAATGTTAAATGAGCTGTTTACATGAAGCAATGATGTTCTTCAAGTTAACATGTTGTTTTTGCTATTCACAACATCCCTTTCTTTCCAAACCCACATAAAGAGTACTGAAAGCACGTGACTGCATTTCAAATACTTACTACTTCAAAACGACCTCAGGACTGTAGCTATTCTGTGCAGGCCGTGGACAGAGATTTATATTCCAGGGCCCTAGGTCAAGTGAGCTCAAGACTGAGGGTCAAGAAACCTTGAGATGGAGTTAGAATGAACTCAAGTGTACATGAGGTTTGCTGCCCCAGGAAAGCATTTCAGCAAGGCTTGGTGACACTGAGGTATCACAAAAGTCACTGGAAAGTCCTAGCGAAACACAAGGTAGTACACATTCCAGGTTTACAAAGTCTAAAGTTACGAAAGACTTCTGAAACAAAGAAAGGGACTGGCCCCAGTGAATGCCAACAGCAACAGCCTGGCAGGACCACTTGGGTGTTCCTGCCGGTGTAGGACCCTGACCCAAGTGCTGGGCTCCTTGCGCATCTTCATGTGTGATGCACGGCTACCAGACTACACCATCTCTCTCTACAAACCAGTGTCCTCTCTGCTGGAGATGCTTCCCACATTTGTTTCCGAAGGCAACAAGTCATTTCTGATTCACACTAAAGTCAGTCACTCTTTGATAATTTATAATACATCGAACCTGAAGGTACATTTTGACTTTCAAAATCTGGGCCCCGGCCAAGACTGAGAGTACGGAAAGAGTGGATTTGTGCTCACCTCTGCTCCCTTTCCTTTTGTATTCTTTCTTCTCTCTCTCTTTGTTCACGAGCAAGCCGTCGTTTCTCTGCCAAAATTTTTGTTGCCTCCTTGGCATTCATAGTCCCTGGTGTGCTTTTATTACTAGACTCTAGTTGAAATTAACACGTAAAACAGTTAGCTGAGGGAACTTAACACCCTTAAGTCCAATAAAGAGGTGCAAGACAACCAACAACATTAAAAACCCAAACAATACGCCCATGGTCTAAAATTTATAAGTAACTAGCAATATGTAAGTAAGTGCTTAAAACAGAACAGGTTTGGTTCAAAAACCCAACCCCACTCCCAATAACATAAGTAGCAGTTTATCTCTTGGTTAACTACTTGCTCAAAATGAAATAATGTACTCCCACTTTGGTTTAGCCACTTTGAGAGACATCAGACTAAAGTGACCTTCTGGGGGACAAAGATGAAGACACAGTGAATACTGAGGAAGACAAACTTATGCTCAGTCTATATGAAGCATACAAATAACCTGACTAAAGAAAAATAAATCCAGCATGCATTTTGAAATTTGTGCAGAATTTTTACTAAATAATTACTGTTTAGATGAACATGGTAATAGTAAACTGTATCTGACTGATCATAAAGTGGCGAACTACACAAACAAAGAAACCAAGACTATCAGTAAAATAAGGAGACCACGCAGAGGCATACTGTAATATTTCAGTCCACATAATGACTATTTTAAATAGATCACATATAACAACAAGGATCTTAAGGAATCAGGAATGAATAATTTGTAATAAAAAGATTATTCCTATGATTTTAAAAAATCACCGTGGAAATCCTTCAAAAAAGAATTTACTAGTGTATTTAAAATGTCACGGCCCATGTATGGAAATGACTGTCAACTCTTTATGGACACCTGCAGGGCCACAAATGACCAGATGTGCTCTCTCCAAGGATGGACAACACCTTATGGCCATTCACAGAACCATCCAAGCAGTGCTTTTATTGTTTTTTTAAGGTTTATTTATCTGAGGGGAGGGCAGGCAGGGGAAGAGAGAGAATCCCAAGCAAACTCCATGCCAAGCACAGAGCCTGCCACGGGACTCAATCTCAGGATCCTGAGATCAGGACCAGAGCCCAGACCAAGAATCAGATGCTTAACTGACGGTGCCACCCACGTGGCCCCCAACCAGTACTTTTAACATCAGTTCCAGGGGCGCCTGGGTGGCTCAGTGGGTTAAGGCCTCTGCCTTCGGCTTAGGTCATGATCCCAGGGTCCTGGGATGGAGCCCCACATCGGGCTCTCTGCTTGGCAGGCAGCCTGCTTCCTCCTCTCTCTCTGCCTGCCTCTCTGCCTCCTTGTGATCTCTCTCTGTCAAATAAATAAATAAAATCTTAAAAAAAAAAATCAGTTCCAAAAGTGGTTTTTCCTCAACAAGGGGGTGGGGGTGAGTAAGCAGCTCCAGCAAGGAAAAAAGAAAACAATGTGCCAATGACTGGTTAAATTCTCTATCAAAAGATGGCTCACTCACCCCCTAAAGTTCTCAGGAATGGAGAATAAAACAAAGGCAACCATCCCCAAACTACCTAAGATTTCCCATGTTGCCAAAATAAACTTCTTAGTAAAGGAACTTACCCTCACAGACCATCTGCTTTGGGCTCACAGCCTCAGCGCTGCTAGCAGCTTTAGGCACTCCTTCTCTTTTCTTTCCAAGACTACCCAATGCATTTTGTGCCAACAGGCTACGCTGAACAGGGATTACTTTATAGGAAAGAGCAGACTGGGACTGTTTTGACATGACAGGTGATGGTGATGACGGGCGATTCTTTTGCATTTGCCTGCTGGGAAAAAGTAACCATTAATGGGGGAAATCTGGTATGGTTTTTTAATAGATATGTGCTAATTAAGTTTATAAAGTGTCATTTCATAAATATAATGTCTTGATATTATGAGATAATATTTTATGATGGGGTAAATCCATTTTAAAGTTTTTTTTCTCTTTATACTTACATTACGATTCATACTACATTATTTCATTTATGAAACACTGATGTGAAATTTGTCCTGGTAAAATACCTATCAGGAACAGTTGCAAATAAACTTACTTAATACTGATGGGAGAAGGTGGACGCCACCCACTTGCAGGAGATGACGGCCATTTGTAACACGGTATATGTGATGGTGGGCGCTTCTTGGTAGCAGGGTTTGAAGCCTGTTTGTCCATTTCTGATTTCTGAACAAAGCATATGATCAGATTAATAAATTAGCATTTACCTTACTGCAGCTGGCTTTTTTTAGACAAAAATACCATGAATATAAATATAGTACAATTATAGCTCCTTAAACTCCCCATTTTCTTCACAAGCATAACAATTCAGATGACAAAATTCAAGGTCACAGAAATAATTACTTTAAAACATCTTTCACTTCAAAACCTAATTCTATTTCTAAATCCTGATTAAAAGATTTGCTGTATTTCTCAAAAAAATTTCTCTTCAGAGTTTAGAGTTCATGTAACAGTTACTCCCTGCTACCAAAAATGAACTAATATTCTAGCTTTGAGGGGAAACTGTGTAACAAATATCAGAGAATTTTAAATCATTAAAGTGAGTTATCCTGTTTAACTAATTTTTTACAGAATGCTATAAATATTAAGAAGCTGCTTATGGGGGCGCCTGGGTGGCTCAGTGAGTTAAGCCTCTGCCTTTGGCTCTGGTCATGATCCCAGGGTCCTGGGATCCAGCCCTGCATGGGGCTCTCTGCTCAGCGGGGAGCCTGCTTCCCCCTCTCTCTGCCTGCCTCTCTATCTACTTGTGATTTCTCTCTCTCTCTCTGTCAAATAAATAAATAAATAAATCTAAAAAAAAAGAAGTTGCTTATGTTGTGAAACCTGACCTATCATAACCTACACAACTAAATACAGATTTTAATAGAAACTTTGTCAATAAAAGGCACTTGACAAACCTGTGGAGAGTCTTTCACTTTCACCTTGGAAGATGCTTCCGTGCCCACCTTGGGGGATGCCTTGGAGGACGCTTCCACAATGTCTTTGGGGAGTGCTTTCACACTAGCCCCAGGCGATGTGTCCACACTGGCCTCAGGTGACACTCCCACACTAGCCTTGGGAGACGCTTCCACACTGGCCTCAGATGACACTTCCATGCTCACATCAGGGGATGAGTCTAGGCTCACCTCGGGGGACGGATCCACGCTCACCTCCGGGGACGATGGGTCCACGCTTGCCTCGGGGGACGACGGGTCCGTGCTCGCCTCGGGGGACGACGGGTCCACACTTGCCTCGGGGGACGACGGGTCCGTGCTCGCCTCGGGGGACACGTCCACACTCACTTCTGGTGATGTTTCCATGCTCTCAGGGAGTGCTTCCACACCTGCTTCACATAGTGCTTCCACGCTCCCTTCAGGGGGCCCTTCCACGCTCACCTTGGGGATGGCTTCTGCGTTCCCTTCAGGGGCCACTTCCACGGTCGCCTCGGGGGCCACTTCCACGGTCGCCTCGGGGGCCGCTTCCAAGGTCGCCTCGGGGGCCGCTTCCA